GGAATGCAGTCACAAAGTACACACTGACTGTGTCTGGATATGAAGGTGATGCTGGTGATAGTCTGAGCCTTCATAATGGAATGAAGTTCTCCACCAAAGATCAAGACAATGACAACTCCTCAGGAACCTGTGCAATAGCTTATAAAGGAGCATGGTGGTATAACAATTGTCATCGTTCAAACCTCAACGGTCTCTACTTGGTTGGGCCTCACTCCTCATATGCCAATGGTGTCAATTGGTATGATTTCAAGGGATACCACTATTCACTGAAGACAACTGAAATGAAAGTTAGAAGGAGTTAAACAGTCAGTGTCTACTGAAGAACTAACCGTGGCAGTTCATTATTGCTAGTATAGTTGAGTCCATTTATATTTACTTTTTGCTACAAATATTCAATTGATTCAAGTCTAGTCAAATACATTATGTGTGTACATGTACATAATCACAATTAACAACACTAGCAGTGTATGGTAGAATTAATAATGAGATTGCCATTAGAAAAGGCATTAGGACACCATATTAAGAGTAAGTACATGTAGCATGTACATGTATGTAACTAGTATACTTGGTCCCACCAGTGATATCAGTAATAGTCTACTCTACAAGAGGTATATGTTGTAATATGTATGACATGTGTACATGTAATCAGTAGGTTGTATATTTTGTGTTAACTGCTATTTACATAAACATGTACTTTTAATTAATACAAGATCTCATGTTCCTATGCCCTTATGCCCTCTTTTGTGTGATATACAATGAGCTGGGTAGCTCTGTCCATGCAGCTCAGTAGGACTCACTTTGTCTACTCCATACGGACTCTTTGTTAGTTACCTGTGTACAATAGTGTCCTTATTTCTTTGTTATGTTTTTGTATTTAAGTTCTGTAATCTTAGAACATTTTCATTCTCTTTTTGTTGTAAAAGTATCTTAACTTGATCTCTGCTAATCTTACTACGTGCAGCAACTCTAGCTAATCGCTATTGTAGTGCTGATTCCCAATAGTATATACCTTTCATCTTATGGCTTCCCAGGTTACAAGCAGTCAACGACTTGAAATGTTAATTAGTAACATATTTTATATTTATGTATTTACATATTTACTCTATATACATGCATCTTCTATTTTTCTTCTAATTTTGTGAGTCATTACTTGTGAAATCACAAAACTTATTACCACACCTACTGTTGCCACTGATTAAAAAACAGAAATACCAAAAACTGCACAATGTTTTAGCAACTTAGTTTTTAAGGTAAAATCAAAATTTCCATTTTGACCAGAAACAGCTCAAATTCCTTACACAATATAAGGGCACCGTGATAACACTTTTTGCTGCCTAAAAATATTCAATAAAAAAGTGACTTTGCATTCTTTTTAGAAGATTTGATCAACAAATATGGGAAGAACCTTATTTGTAATTTGACTATAACATGCACATACATTATGTGCATGTTCATCATCAGTAACTGAAAAAGTATCATTCCATTCTATGTAATCTATATTTTACTACTGACAAGATATTGCATGCAATAAAAATATGTCAGCCAAATATTATAGTAGTAACTAATGATAGCTGAGATTCACAATAATCTTGACCAGTAGAAGTAAGTAAATTCACAATAATTTTGACTAATAGTAAATAAAGCTCCAGCATGTTATAAAAGCAGTAGCTGTACACAAACACTCATCACTGGTAACCTACAGTAAAAGGATTGTTCAGTATTAGTTCTATACAGCAAGTCAAGACAAGATGGATTCCTGTTCTTATTTTAAGCTGATAGGATGCTTCATTCTTATTAGCATTGCTATTGTTCCAACACAAGGTATGTCATACAGTAACAACAATAATAAGAATGGACATATCTATTTTACTAATAGGTTGTTTTCCTCTTGACTGTCAGGAAGCATACAAAAATGGTACAGTATGCAGTGGAGTATATACTGTGAAACCTGATGATCTACCAGCTTTTGACGTAAATATATTAATATATAAATAGTATATAGAACCCTTTATAATAATAACAATTTAATGTCCCAACTATACACAAAGTACCTTAATGAGGACACTTCTGTATTAAGGATAGTGTGGGCCCAATGGTGTCCTTAATAAAGAGGCTACACTGTACATGTATTAAGGACTGGTAGTATGGGCCCAATGGTGTCCTTAACAAAGAGGCTATACACTGTAGCAGTATATAATTTGTATCTATAATAGGTCTATTGTGATATGAGTAATGGCGGTGGATGGACTGTATTTC